AAGCCAAATGTGAGCTGAGGGTTTCCCCAGGCCCAGCAGGGCAGCAAAGGGAGGTAGGGAAGAGGCACGATGGTAATAATTACAAACATCCTCCTAACAATGACACTTGGTCACCTCGTTTGAAGACTCTGTTCTTTTGCAAAGTGCTTCATCTCTTTCATCTCATTAAAGGGCCTCCCTCCTCCAGGGAGGCCAGGAGGATGAAGTCCTATCTCCATTTTGCAGAAGGGGCACTGAGGCCCGGTCAGGTCAGTTTTCGCACAGCTGCAGAGCCCAGGAGAGGGCTGGGATGACTTCAGTCCTGTCCTGGAACTGCCCTTCCCACAGCACCACCTCCTCCCTGAGCCAACGGGGGCTCCTCCTGGGGGCTCTGGAGCCCAGGTCTGGGCAGCAGTTGGACCTCGCAGATAGCGAAGACAAGAGACAAGAAAGGAAAGAATTCTGGCTTGGGAGCCAGGCCATGGGTTCCAAGTCTGGCCCCATGACAAACCATGTCAGAGCCACCCAGATAAACCAGAGGTGAGGGGTGGGCATAACCCCTCCCTACTGATACTGGTGCCCAGGCATTTCCTACTCCAGGCCAAGGGCACAGCCCCAGAGACCTTCTGACCATGCAGAGAGACAAGAGAGGAATAAACTCCTGAGCACTGCTACATGCCCAGCTTTATCAGCCGTGTAAATCTATCCTTTCTAGTCCTCGGAGCGTCCCTGGGAGCCAGAGGGGCCCCCTTTAGACTAAAGGTGAGGAAAGAGGTCAAACAGGGACAAAGACTTGACCAAGGGCACAGAGTGAAGAAGCAGTGGGATCTGAACCCAAGACTTTCTATTGCCAAAGCCCACCCAGTCTCTTCTCCTGGCAGGAGAGTCTGACATCTTGTACCGATTTTGCCTGGGAAGAGCCCTGCTGACTTGACAACAACACGTGTTGTCCTTGCTTCTTCCTTCCTGGTGTCGGTCTCAGTACCGGCACAGTGAGTCCAGGAGGGTGACATACTGGCTCCACACACCTGGGCTGCAATTTTTCCCTACCACTTACAAATGATAGAACCTGGGGAAAGTCACTGAGCAGAGGCTCAATGACTCAGTTTCCTCATCAGTTCAGTCAGGGGTTTGGTCAGTTCTTAGCCTGCGATGCACTTTAGAATTGCTGTGGGAGCTTTTAAAAATACCCTTGACTGTGCTCCACCCCAGGAGAGTCCTACTGAATTGGTCTGGGGTGGGGCTCAGCATCAGTTTTATTTTAAAGCTCCTAAGAGATTCTAATGTGCAGCCAGGGTAAGAAACACTGGTTTCTGTGCTCCCTGAGGACCAGCTTTTCCACATATAACATTCCACGTGGAACCCTGCTCTGAGATCCTGTTTACCCAAGAATCATTTGGGCAACGCTTCCTATGCCAGCCTGGTTAGAGGCCCTTAACCCCACGTAGCTGAAGAGCTGGCTGGCAGCACCACGGACAGCGACCAGCTCACCCTAGCCAGTCGCAGCCGTGCTTCTGGAAGTCTGAGCTTGAACCAGTTGTGGCGGGGAGAACACTGAATGCAGTTCCTTACCATTCCCCTCCTTTCTCTGACTCTTCCCTCTCTTACTAGCCTGTCTCCTTCTACTCCTATTGACCCCCCTTCTTCTACTTTATAAGCCCAGGCACATGTGGGTTTTGACATCAGATCGGCCTGGGTTTGAATCCTGCCTCTCCTATTTCCTTGCCAGGTCAACTTGGCCAGGCACTGTTCTCGGTTCTGAACTCAAACTATTTGAGTTCTCACAGTGATCCTGAGAGCTTAGCAGTAATATTACCTTCATTTCACAAATGAGGAAACTGAGGCACAACGGGCTTCATTACTTCACTCAGCCTCCTTTTTTCATCTGTAAAGTGGAAATCTCAATAGAGCTTACTTCAAGCTTATTTTATAAATTCCATAAGATAACATACATAAAGGGCTTCTCGTAGGATCTAGCACAAAGTAGTTATTCAGTAAACATAATCTATCATGATCATCGAATAATGATATGTAATAATGGGTTTCATCATTATTATTAATTCACATTTTCACCCTTCACTGTGCATAGCAGTTTCCTCGTCTGTAAAATGGGAATGATGCAGGATTGTACTGTGTTGGTTTATATCAGCTTGATTTTCTGTTTTGGGAGCCACTTGATACCAATTGGTAGCTTGAAGTGGGCCATGGTGAGAGTCTCTACACCATGGAAATCAACAAACACTACAAGACAGGGCATTTCTCCCCACCCCTCTAGCCCTCAGAGCCGATACCAGCATACCACTGCATCTATATAACAGAATTGGCCTGAGGACTAAAGGAGGGAGTGGATGTGATGGTCATTATAAAAATACAAACTGCTGAATGGAGGGGGGATGACCCTGAGGTCCTGTAGCAGCCACAAGCCCGGCACCCTTTTATCTGCCCATTCTGGGGAGCTGCTGACTTGCGAAGAATGTAGGAGGGGGTCTGGAGTCTGGGGAGCCAGTGGTGAATCACTGACCCTTCACCATCCCCACGTGTCGGCATTAACTGTAATGGCTGCAATAAAGAATCTGGGATTGGGGAAATGATTCCATCATCCCCGCAGGAGTCCCTGGGATGCAGCCAGGGAGAGAGAGAGAGAGAGAGAGACAGAGATCAGCCATTACCCTGGGGAGTCACTCAGCCCGATATTGTGCCTTGCCCAAGGGATGGAGGGAACAAGCAGAGGGGAGTGACAGGGAGACCCTCTCTCATAACAGTTACAACAGCCACTATTTATTGAGCACCCACCATGAGCCTGATGCTTTATGTATCTTCTCCCTTTTCAGTATGTCTGTGAGGGAGGCATGATTGTGCTACCGTATACTGGCGTGTCATGCCTCCCGAGACAACAACAACCTGCATTTATTGAGTTCTTAGCATGGGCCAGGCACTGTCCGCGGTGCTGAACATGGAAGTCTATTTGAATTCTCAAAACAATCCCAGGAGTTTGGTAGTACTATCATCTTCATTTCACAAATGAGAAAAATTGAGGCACAAGGGGGTTTGTGACATGTTCAAGGTCAAACTGCTAGTAAGTGGCAGAGTCATCATTGATTGTGATTCAGTACACTGGGCCACCATCCCCAGGGCCACTCTGCCTGTGCTGATTCTGTCACCCGGGAGGGCTTTGACCTCAGAGAGTCCTGGGTTCAAATTCCACCACCTCCTCTCTCAGTGCTCTTGGTCAAGTCTTTCTACCTGTTTCCTCCCCTGTAACTTAGAGGGGCCCACTCTGCCTCTCGGAAACACTATGAGGATTAGAGATGATGAATTTAAGTGGTTGGTGAAGTTGGACATGCAGTGGGTGCCAATAGGCATTTATTCCTTTCTCCTTTACCTGTATAATAGGAGGCACCTGGGGTTATGTCCTTGGCCCTGAGTAGGAGACCCTGGGCACCAAGCATCAAGAGGGAGGGGGCTTGCTCAAATCCCTTCCCTAGCTTCTCTGGGCAACCCCGATATGGTTGACATGGAACAGGAGCTGCCAAAGAGAGGCGCATTGCAGGGCCGGGTTAGGAGGCTCAGGCTGGGAGGGGGGACATGGAGAGGGAAATGAGAAATGCAAAAGAGTGAAAAATAAATACATGTGTCTGTCTGGAATGATCGAGGGCCCCAGGCTGGAGGCGGGAGAGGCAGGCGGCAGGCTGGGCTTAGCAGAATTGCTGCAGTAGCACTTCCAGAGCCTCACTCATTAGCCAAGCCGTGAATGGGCCTTACCCCCCAGCATGCCGCCCTCCTGGCCCAGAGTCCAACCCAGCCCCAGGAGTGCCCCACTCAGAACCTCAGCAGGTCTGGGCCCCTTCCCCTCACCAGCAGGGCACTCAAAAGAAGGCATCACCTTGAAGTGATGTCTGAGTCTCATCCCCTTGGGTCATATCCTGAGCCCCCAAGACTCCCTCTTGGGTCTTCCACCTCACCCCCTCCTTTCTGGAAAGGTTCAGAGGGACCAGAAGGCTTTGCCTGCTTCTCCATCCGACACCTCCCCCACCCTGCCCTCACCCCCATCCTGTCCAGCCTCACGTCCCAAGCCTGATTTCGTCAAATTGAACATGATGTCAAATTAGAGCCATCTCTGGGACAGGCCAAGAGAAGCTCCTAGTTTAATGAGGCAGCGTCAAAAATCAATAACTTAATTGCCGCTGTTTGATGGACTTTTATCCAATTTATACTCTCCCCAGCAGCCTACGTGCAGAGCATGTGGAGAAGTGTGTGTGTGTGTGTGTGTGTGTGTGTGTGCGTGCGCGCGTGCCTGGGGCGGGGACTGTCTGGGCACCTAGGGGGAGGGGTGAGGAGGGCACCAGGACCCACAGCCAACTATTTCCCAAAGGGAAAGCTGGATCTTGCCATCCTCCTGCCCCAGATCCAAAAGACACTGGCCTCTGAGCCCCAGTGAACTTGGTTATCCTTCTGGGCTGCCCAACTCCCATCCTGTGGAGGGTGCTGAAAGAGGGAGGGAAGAGAGGCAGAATTCCCTTGAGAAATCAGGAGAGGCTGGGGTGGGTAGAAAGACCCCTGCTTTGGGAGTCTGGTGCCTGGTTTCCAGTCCTGGCTCTAACTCTGACCATGATGACTTAACTGGTGAAGATGACCATTGCCACCACCCACTGAGACTGAGCCCCATCTGCACTGAGAATTTAAAGTGCATTCCCTTAACCTCAAGAACCAAGGACTAGGATTATCCCCCATTTGCTGAAGAGGAAACAGATTCAGAGAGGCTGCCTTCCCTTGCCAGAGTCCTACAGCTGGGAGCCACCAAAGGGAGATTTGAACTCAGATCTGACTCCATGATCACGCTTGTGCCACGGGAAGGCCCCAGATCAGGAAGCGGGTTGGGAGTCGGTGTGGGGATGGGGACTGTAAGGGGACTAGTTTCCATGATCTTTAGCTTGGATCTCCTCCCCCAGCTTTCCTGGGGTGGGGAGGACAAGCGCAGCGGCCCCAGGTGACCCCCGTCTCGCTTGGTCCCCCGGGCCCAGGCACGTCGGTGATGCAGGTGATGGCCTCGGATGCGGATGACCCCGCGTATGGCAGCAGCGCTCGGCTGGTGTACAGCGTGCTGGATGGCGAGCATCACTTCACGGTGGACCCCAAGACCGGTGAGGGGCGGGGCCAGGCCGGAGGGGGCGGGGCCAGGGCAGGACCGAGGGAGGGGCACGGAGGCGTGGGGCCAGAGGGTCGGGGGAGGTCCGCTAGCAGCCTTCTAACAGGACAGCGCTGAGGGTAGGACCGGACCAGGAGGTGTCTAGCTTGTTCCAGGGTTGCAGAGAGGAAGGGGCGGCCAGGCAGAAAGAAGGAAGGGCTGAGGAACAGAAAAGTATGGGGCAGGGGTGGGGGTCCCTGCAATACTGGCAGAGAAACAAAAAGGCAGGATGCCTCCACCATGGGCGCCCTGGGGGACTTTGGAGGTCCCAACTCAGCAGCCCTCTTGTCTTTGGAGCTTAACTAAAGCAAGTGTGTCTGCAGCCCTTAGGGGTCAGCTGGTGAAGGGCACCTTTGCAGCAGTTGTGAAAGCTCTGTTCAAAGGGCAGTTATTAAGGATCTGATGGAAAGACAGGGATGGAGACCGATAAGGAAGAATGGCTTCTTGACTTCTTTTCCCTCCCCCAACGCCACCAGACACAGTCCCCAATTCACTTTCTCTGAGGTTAGAACCAGATTATGTCTCTGAGGAGCCTGGCCAGAGTGGCAGGGAGGGCAGAGCAGGAGACTGAGGCTCAGAGGAGTGAAGTGCCTCACTGAGGTTGCACAGCTGGGCGTGGCTGCCGCTGCCAAGGGCGGTGTTCTCCCCGTCCCTGCGATGGGTCGGGGCGCCAGGGAGACCTCACACCACAGAATGTTTATCAGATGCCGTCATGGGGCTCACAGCCCGGGGTGGGGGCCAGGGCAACAGGCATATGCACGGGCAATCAGTATGCAAGGTTCTGGGAGGTGGAAGAAGCTGATCTCCAAAGGATAAGAAGGTGTTGGCCAGACTGGGATTCAGAGACGGGCATTCCAGGCAGAGGGCATGGTGCAGGCAAAACCAGGAGGGAAAGAACAGCCTGAGGCATGAGGGGAATAGTAAGCAACTCAGGACTGGGGAAGCAGGCAGGCTGGGGATGCGGGCTGGTTGGCAGGGGCCCGACTGGGCACAGTAGAAGCGAGGTTTAAGACCTTGGATTTTATTCTAAGGGTAATGGGGGGGTAAAGGGTAATTCTAAGGATTATTCTAAGGGTAATGGTGTGTGTGTGTGTGTGTGTGTGTGTGTGTGTGTGTGTGTGTGTGATGGATCTGGGTTTTGGGGTTTTGTTTTTGTGTTTGATTTTTTGGGGTGGGGGATTGAGGATTCCAGGTTATGAGCTCAGTTGTAATTGTATTATCTTACACATAATATCTTTGTCATTTTTTTCTCCTTGCAAAAGTAATACATTTTAGGAAACATTCAAACATTGAAGAAATGTTGAAAGAAAGAAAGAAAGAAAGAAAGAAAGAAAGAAAGAAAGAAAGAAAGAAAGAAAGAAAGAAAGAAAGAAAGAGAGAGAGAAAGATGCTTCCCACTCTCATCCCCTAATTGCAGCCCCAAAGGTAGCCACTTGGTGTATATCTCCTATGAGATCTTAGACTCATTCACTTGAAAAATATTAAGTTTTTAAAAATAGATAACACATTTCAAGGTTCAAAATTTATCCAAACAGATATTTAGTGGAAATTCTTTACCCCTTCCAGTCCCCCAGCCACCCAGTCTGGGTCCCCAAGGCAACCAATGTAATTTTCTTGGGTATCTTTCCAGAGCTATTCTATGCATGTACAAGAAAATAGGTACATGTATTTGTTTTATTTTTTTACACAAATGGTAGCTATAAACACACACTATACACACTGCTTGCCTTTTTCACTTAACAATACATCTTGAAGATTATTGTATATCAGTACATAAAGAGCTTCCTCATTCTTTTATTTAACAGCTGTTGTGGATACACTAAAATTTATTTCACCAGTCCCCTATTGATGGACACTTACGCTGTTCCCAATCTTTTGCTACAACGAACAATGCTACAGTGAATAACCTCATACATATATCATTTTGTGCTTGTGTGAGTATATCTGCAGGATAATTTTCGGGAAGCAGAAAAGCTGGGTCAAAGAGCCCATGCATTTGGAATCTGGATAGATAATGCCGAAATGTACCAGATTACACTCCCGAGAGCCACCCAGGAAGGTGCCTGCTTCTCCTCCTCCTCACCAACACTCTGGGTTCATTGATGACTTTTAGGCAGGGAAGTGACATGCTCAGGTTTTCATTTTAACAAGATCTCTCGGGCTGCCCTCTATACCACGGCTCAGAGGCAGGGATTGAATTCAGGGAGACTCGGTAGCCTGGGGTGCCCATCACAGAGCCCCAAAGGACAAACACCAAGGCCTGCGCCTTTCCCCGGCCCCCACCCAGACTCCTGAACCTGTTCCATCTAGCTAGGGAGCCAGAGATGACACAGGATTGGTGGCAAGGGTTAGTTGAGATGCTGAGGAGGGAGAACGGGGGATGACAGTGAGATCCTGTCAAGGGCAAACCTTGGGGACCTTGGGTGAATGTAGGGAACTGGATTGAGGGAAGAATCTGGGGGTTCCCAGCTTTGGGCCCTGGGATGGGAAGGGGCACCATCTAGGGAAACAGAAGGAGGAGTGTCGATTAAAAAACTAGGAGCAGAAAAATTAGTGAATGTGCCCTGGAATCAGGCGCAGAGCTAATTCATTCCATTTTAACCACGGCGGGTTTAAGAGGAGAGAGGAGGAGGAAAGAAACATTTGGAACATCTAGCAGGCCGTCTGAAATACGGGCCGGAGCTCTCTGAGTAACTGGAGCTCTCTAAGCTTTGGTTTCCCATGTGCACAAGAAGGGTAATAATTCCCATCTCACGTGACTCTTGTGACCATCCAATGGGAGAGTTCCTTCCTTCATTCAGCAACTCCTTAGCGAGTGCCTGCTATGTGCCTGGCTCTGTTCTAGGCTCTAAGCATATGGCAGGAGGCAAATCCAAGACCCTACCCTATGGAGCTTTAATTCAAGTAGGGAATACAGAAAATAAGCCTATCCATGCATAGCATAACGTCAAGTAGCAACGAGTGCTAGGAAGACACAGAAAGCAGGGTAAAGGGATAGACTTCGATGAAGAAACAAGGATGGGCCTTTCTGGGGAGGTGACCTTGGGCAGAGACGTGAATGAAGGGAGGGTATGAGCCCCTCGGTAGCTAGGAAGGAGTGTGCAGGCCAAGGGAAGAGCGAGGGTATGAAGTGCTCGGCACAATCCCTGGTACCTCCTGGCAAGCCAAGGGGCTGCTATTGCTCTACTGAAGCCTTCATTCGTTCAGCCGGAGGAGGGGGCCCTTTGAGTTGATCTCCCTCCAGAAAGGGAGGAAGTGACTGAAATAAGGGAGGGGCCGGGACTGAGTCTGGGAGATGGCAGGGGTGAGCCAAATTCCAAGAGAATGAGGAGGACGGCCAGGTTCTCAGAAGGAGCATCCCCCGCTGCAGGGAGTCGGGAAGAGGGTGGCAAGCAGGAGGCCGTGGAGACCCCGGGAGGGCAGGAACGGTTCGCAAGAGGCCAGCGAGTGGCACCAGGCAAGGCAGGTGAAGCAGCGCAAATGAGGTTCTTGTTCTAGGGTCCTCCACTTTCTCAGTCTGAGAGGGTCTTTGCTGACATCTCCCAGGAAGAACCAGATTTTTCCTCCCCTTGCCTTCAGCCCCACTGCAGGAGCCACCCTGGTGCCATTCCCAGCCCCAGCTCCATTTCCCCAGCCAGGAATATTCCGCTGATGCGGGTCTATATTTAGCAGCTGCTGTGAGGTACAGTCTGTTCTCGCTGTGCCGATAGCAGGGAGCAGAGCCGGAACGGGCCCTGAGAGGAAGGTGTGAGGGAGAGGAGGGGCGGGGCTCCATGGGGCCGAGTGCCAGAGGAGGAATTAACTTGTGTGTTTGAAAGGCCAGGCCTGCCAGCAAGCCCCCCCCGCAACAGGGGCGACAGGGATGGCATTTGCAGGCTAATGAGGCATCGCTTGGGCTCCAGGGCCCCTTCTGAAGAATTTGGGGGTGGCGAGGACAACAGCTGGAGCTGGAGGTGATGGGCGAGGACAAGGCTGCAGGGAGCTGTGGCCAGGTTCTAATTTTCAGCCCCCGCCCACCACCACCCCCACAAGACTAGAAAGATGCTCTCAGAGACTCCAAGTTATCTGCTGAAAATTCTCAACTGGGCCAGAGATGTCTGTTTTCCTGGAATGAATGAAACAAACCTTTGCTGAGCACCTTCTAAGTGCCAGATCCTGGGATCAGGATGATAAACTCGATCTGGTTTCTGCCCCCGTGGGGCTTTTGTTCCAACAGAGAAGCCAGAAACAATGACACCCAGCCTGTGAGATGGGGAGACAGAGGGTCTGTGGCAGTAGGTCAGACAGCCCAGGTGTTTATTGAACACCCCCAATGTGCCAGACCCTATAGGTAAAATGATGAACAAGGCCGGTAGGAATCTCTGCCCTCATGGAACATATTGATCGGGTACCCAATCCAGGACTTGGGGAGGGAGGGATCATCATGGCATCCCCAGAATGTGCCAGAGGAGGGGGCCCTTTGAGTTGATCTCCCTCCAGAAAGGGAGGAAGCGATGGAAACTGCTGCTGGAAACTTTGTCTCATTTAGTTCTCTTAAAAGCCTTCCAACTGGGTAGCCCCATTTTATAGAATAAGAAACTGAGGCTCAGAGGCACTCAAAGAACTTGCCCAAGGTCAGATAGCATGTAAATAAATGGTGGAAAGAAGACTTAAACCAGTCAGTCTGACCCCAAAGTCCCTCCTTTCTGTACGGCCTCATATCTGACTCTGTGACCCCTACACATAGTATGTCCTCAGTAAGCATCTAATAAATGAGTGAATGAAGTGATTTGCAGAGCCAGAAGCTTTCAAGGACAACTGCATGGGCCGATTTGGGGAATTTTACCCCAGAGCCGGGAGAAAGGCACCAGCCCCCAGGGTGCTCGTCCCAGCGTCAGGAGGTGGAGTGGGGAGCAGAACATAGCAGGTAACAGAATATGCCGTCAATTCCTCCCACCCCTCTAGGTAAAGTGACTTTGCCACTGCTCCTATCAAGAGGTGAAGTCTTGAGAGGTGCCTGGCTGGCTGAGATGATAGAGCATGGGACTCTTGCTCTCAAGGTCATGGGTTTGAGCCTAATGTTGGGCATGGAACCTACTTAAAAAGAGAGAGAGAGGTGGAGTCTTGAATCCGGGAGCAGAAATGATGTTCTGCCAAGTCCCAGATTAGGCCTTAAGAGGCCTTGCCACCTTCCCTCTTCTCTCCCAAGACCACCATCTAATGAAATGAGCCCAGCCTGCTGAAGCCCGGAGATGCTCTAGCTGACAGCCAGGACCACCCCCCCCCGCCCCCCCGCCAGACCTATGCCCCAGGCCACGCTGGGCCTTCTGGACAGCTGAGCCTCTAGTGAAATGAGACTGCATGACCGAGCCCAGGAGAGGAACAGGCAGGAGAACATGATCTCTCCATCAGATGCCTACTGCTCTGTGACAAACTGCCCCCAAACACGGTGACTTAAAACAGCAACAGTTCTTTATTGACATGATCCTGTGGGCTGGCTGCGTAGTTCTTTTCGCCGGGGTCACTCGTGTGGCGACAGTCCACTGGCAGATCGGCTAGGACAGCTGGTGTGCCTGGGCCCCTCCCTCCATGTGGCCTTCCATCTGGGGCTTTTTCTCAGCAAGGTGGTCTCGGGGCTCCTAGAGGACAGGCCCCAGGACACAAGGGCTTATCAAGCCTCTGCTTTTTGTCCTGCTTGCTGATGTCCCATTGGCCAAAGCAAGTTGTGGGGCTAAGGCCAGGGTCGGTGTCCAAGGGGGTGACCCAAGAGTGTGCCTAGCAGCAGGTGTGCTTTATTGGGAGCAGGCATCCCAGCCTGTCACTGGGTGTGAGCCCAGGGCCAGGTCCGGAGGCAGCATGGCCTCTGGGTGCCCACCTCCTGGTCTCCCAGAGATGGCACCTGATCGCCTTGAAGGCTTCATGACCAGTTGCCAAGTGAAAAGAGGTTAGTATCCCTACTTCCTCTGGAGCTAGAAGTGGCAAGGACGGCAAGGAGGCAGTCACATGAGCAGGGCTCCTCACCCGCAGGGGTAGACCTCATCCAGAGCCCTGCTCTAAGCCCCACGCAGGAGTTTTTGGTGCACAGGCTCACAGATGCACCGTGGCCGCAAATCCCAGCACCACCTCTGCATTCCGTGAGGTCCTGGGTGCAAAGCGCGTGCACACGGCTTAGCACGCGGTACGGGCTCCACTGGTCGGCTCCCTTCCCTGCCCTTCCGACTGGTTCACTCAGGGAGCCCTTGTCTCTGGCCTGGTTGGCCACTCCACCGTCAGTCTGTCTGTCTGCCCTCTCCCGTCCTCCCTGCACCATCTTTCTTCCCCGCTTCCCGACCCTGGGCCTCCCTGCTGTCTTCGAGAAGGGCAGTTCACTCAGTCTCTATTGTTCTCTGCCTTCCTTTCTCCCCTCTGTTCTTTCCCTGTTCATCTGTCTCCAGGTTTCCAGCGCTCTGTTCCTCTGTCTCACTGTCCCTCCTGAGTGCGCATTTCCCTCTGGCTTGACCACTTACCTCTCTCCTTCTCTCTGTCCCAGCCCTTTAGGTCTCCCTTGCTCTCTGTTCCCTCTCCAGGGCTGCAAAGCCTCAGCTGACAGACCAATGGAGGCCTGGGCCCTAGCCTCATCGCCAGAAGGGCGCCCCGCTCACAGTCCCAGTGTTGGGGCAGGTCAAGGAGGGCCTGTTCTGACCAGAACTGGGGTCGGTGGGGAGCGCACTGCTACTGGCAGCCGGTGGGTAGCGTCATCCCGCCCCAAACATCAGTAGTGCCAAGGTTGGTAATTCCTGCTCTGTATGCAGTTGTCCCATTGTCCAGATAAGGAAACAGGTTCAGAGGAAGGGATTTGCTCAAGATCACATGATCAAAAAAATGGCAGATCTGGGATTTATCCCAATTTCATGTGCTTCCAAGACTCCTCCATCCTTGGGAGGACCACCCTCCGTAAAGGAGGGGTCAGCAGGGAGCCCAGGGAGGGGTCTCGGAGGCCACCGATGGAGAGTCTGTACGACTCTTGATTAGATAGACTACACATTTTCCGTATCTCCCTGTGATCCCACAAAAGCAGGGCCACTTCCTAGATGCCCTACCTCCGGCTCCCCCAGCTACACATACAAATACACACATACACGCACACACTGCAGCCTCTCCCCTCGTTCTTGCACCTTTATTGGAGTCTGGGGGCTGTTTGGGGACATCAGGAGTCGGAGATTGGGTTTTATGGGGCGCATCATGGGGCTGCTGGTGCATGACTCCACCTGGCGTGCAGGCCCCGGGCACCACCTGTCACCACCTGGTACTCGGCAGGTTGGAGCGAGTGGCGGGGGAGGCTGTGAACGCCTCATCGACTCTCCCCTCCACCTTGGTCTCCCACTGGCAGGGAGACAAGAAGCTCAGTCTTCTGCTCGGCAGAATTAATTTGTGGTCACCCCCGTTCCTGCGGCCCCTGCCCCTCTTGCATCAACAGCTCGAGGGCTGTCCGATCAGTGATTAGCTGGTGCCTGGATGGAGAATCTAGGGCTGGGCCAGGGCACAGGGACCTCAGGGGCTGGGGGCCGACTCCATCATGGAGAGGGGCGTGTGAAAATAAGAGTGTACGTTCATAGCTGCGAGTGTGCACACGTGTGGGTGTGGGTGTGAGTCCAGTTCACCACATTAGCACTCAGCAAGCTGCTGTTCCATGCCTGACTCTGCTGAGGGCCACTGACAGAGGGATGAAAGAGTGGATCTGAGCAGGTGTGAGTGTGCGTTATCCATGAGCACGTGGGTGAGTGTGCGTGAGCATGCGTGGTGGCCGCTGAGCCTGCACCCGCACTGTCCCCACACCCGTGTCTTCATGTTCCCCTCCTGAACTTGCCTGCGCCCTGCTTCTGCCTGTGGAGGGGTCTCTGTATCAGCTCGCAGCTTCGGCGAGGGCATCCCTGGCTTCACTCTCACTCACCCGCAGGCGTGATCCGGACGGCCGTGCCCGACCTCGACCGCGAGAGCCAGGAGCGTTACGAGGTGGTGATCCAGGCCACAGACATGGCAGGCCAGCTGGGTGGCCTCTCCGGCTCCACCACCGTCACCATCGTGGTCACCGATGTCAATGACAACCCACCCCGTTTCCCGCAGAGTAAGTGAGGCCTTCCTAGAGGGTGATGGCCGCATGCATCTGCATCCACCTGGTAGACCCCCAGCACCCCTCCCATCAGGCTTCCATGGCAGGTACTGTGGGTGTTCGTTCATCCTTCCAGCCGCCCACCGAGCTCATGCTTCCCTTTAGGCTTCCACCAAAAGAGGAGCTTGAATCTGTCTGTCTATCCATCCAAGGCACCTATTTCCCCCCAGTGCCCCTCCAATCATGCTTCCTGCTGAGGAAATCCTCAAAGTTGTCTGATTGCCCACCAGCCAAGTAACATGGTTACCTTCCTACCCCTCACCTTGCTTCCTGCCGCGGAGGAGCCCCCATCTGTCCACCTACTCCAGTCCCTCACTGGCCCCCGCACACACCCCTACTCTTCCTTATTCCATGTGATCTGCCACTGACCCAAGCTTGCAAAGGGAAGGGCCGGGGAGGGGGGCTGGAGTGACAGGTCTGTCCCCACAATGAGCCTGGAGGGCAGGATGCCGCGCTTCTGAATTAGGTCTTTCCACTCTCTGCCTCTCCAGGCGCAACAGGGGACAGGGGGTGGGGGTGTTCTCTGACCAAGTCCCCCACCTCCCCCTCAGCCAGCCCCTCAGCCAGCCTTGGGCCCAGAGATGCGCTGGGGAAGCCGCCGAAGCTGGCAGAGACTAAATGCTGCAGGGAGCCGGGCTGATCCCTATCGGGGAGTCATTACTTGAGGTCTGCTGCTCTCACATTAGGCCCGCCACAGGGGACTGACCCCCGCGAGATAAGGGAATCCAATCCCTTAGCTGAGAGCGCACCGTCATCGGGGCCTAGTGCCTCAGCCCGGACTCCGAGCGGGGTGGGCAGAGCTGTCAGCTGGCTTCGCATCGCCAGGAAGCCGGGCGCAGTAGCCAGGGCCCCCCCCGCCCCCCGACATGGATGGGGGAGCTTTGAGGCGCCGTGTGGAGCGGTGGGGGCCACCCGGGCTTCTGCCCCGTTGTGCGAGGCTCTGTGCCAGTTCTGAGCAGGGAACAGTGGGGCAGAGCAGAGAAGAGGGACCCCGGGCCCCAGGAAGACTCTTGTTTATTCGTTCACTGATTCATCCCCTCTTTATTTTGAACATTTCTTTATTGTGAAATATGCACACAAACGGAAGGGTTTAAATAGAAATGTCCAGTTTGGCAACTAATTATAAAGCAAACCCTCCTAGAGACCACACTCCTGGACCCCAGAAGCCTCCAGGTGTCTTTCCTGAAGCTAGCTGCCCCCCGCACCCCCACTTCCAGAGATAACCATGATCCGCTATTTTGATGGCTGCCTCCTTGCTTTAGAGTCAGTTTACCTACATATGCATCACCTAACACTATAGTTTAATTTCCCCTGGTTTTTTAACCTTAGATGAGCAGAATCATATCATATAACCTCTTTGTGTCTTGCTTTTTTTTCTCTCTTAAAATTATGTTTATGAAATCACATGTATTCATTTTCGTTGCTGCACAGTGTCCCATCATTTATCTCTTCTATGTTGATGGACGTTTGGTTTGTTCCCAGTTCGAGGCTATGATGAAGGACACTGCTCTGAACATTGTTGCACCTTGTGGAACATCTCCAAGTACCGGTTTGCACGCATTTCTCTGGTGTATCTACACACTGGAACAGAATAGCTGGCTCATGGGATATACTTATCTTCAGCTTTACTAAACAAAGCCAAACTGTTCCCCCCATGAAAAAAATGCACGTGTCCATTGTAGCTCCGCCTCCCCAACACTTGCTATTGTCAGACTCTTTAATTTGTGTTAACCCAGTGAGTGTAGACCCATGCTCCTTTTCATTCATTCACTCCCTAGTCACTCACACATTTCATTTATGCGACAGTCTGGTGTTCTGCCAGGCTCGGAGAATGCCTGATGAATAAGAGATGTGGTTCCTGCCTTCCAGGAGCTCACACTCTGGGCAGAGGAGAGAGGAGAGAGCAGGGAGAGAAGAAGCAGAAACTGATAGGGAAAGGCAGGAAACCTTACAATGGGATAAGCTTGGTGGCCCTGGGGCACAAGACCAGAGCCTGGAGGTCAGTCTGAAGAGGCTCCCTGGAGGAGGGAACATTCTGTGAGACTGTAGGAATTGGGGAGGGCACAGCAGAAAGGAGAATAAAGAGAGGGGATGCCTAGAGATGAGGAATTATAAGAACCTCAGGCAGGCTGAAGCCGGGGTCAGGGAGAGGGAGGCTGAGGCTGCAGAAGTCGGCAGTGGCCAGGCAATGACCATCCTATAGGGCAGGCCAAAGGGCTGTAGGGCTCCATCACAGGGCAGCCGGGAGCTACGGAAGGGATTCCAGCGGGCGAGTGGCACAGCCAGCGTGTTTTAGAAACAGCCCCTCTGGCTGCCATGTGAGAATGATTCAGACGCCACCGCTCCACACAAGGGGTATCCAGACCTTGGGGACTCCAAGAGGCACATCCTCAGCTCCACAGGCCCTACTTCACCTGCACTGGCCCCTCATTTAGCAAATCACCCTCATCTTGACCTCAACTCTGGGAGGAGAGCAGGGTACCGTTTGTGTCCCATCTGACCTCATTCCCTCACGTTTCTGCTCTGCTTCTCCCCTCTGGCCACAAAGGCCATCTTGCCATTCTTCAAACATACTGGGCATTGCACCCGCGTCAGGGCCTTTGCACCTGCTGTTCCCTCTGTCTGGAATGCTCTTCCCCCAAATCTGCTTGGCTTACTCCCTCACCTCCCTCAGACTTTTGCAGAAATGTCATCTTCCTAGTGAGGCCTTTCTTGATTACCCTATTTAAAACTCCACACACACCCTCATCGGCATTCCCCGTGCCCCTTTCCTTACTTTATTTTTCTCCAAAGCACCTATCACCATTTGATATACCACATGTTTTCCTGATGTGATTGTTTGTGTCTTTCTCTGCCTGTTGAGAGGAAAGCACTGTGAGAACTGGGATTTGGGTCTGCTCTGCTTGTTGCTATAACCCCAGTCCCCAAACTGCATCTGGGACATCATAGGTGCTTAATAAATACATGGGAATGAAGGAATCCATGTCATTAACATCAACAGCAACAGGAAATGGGCATGAAGCCCCCCTCTTTTACCATAATTTGTTCCATTTATTGAAGAGCTACCATAAGCTAGGCACTGTACTAAGCGCTTTCCGTGCCTCCTCGTCTAAGTTAACAGGGATTGTGACAGTGCCATTAGGAAGGCACTGCTTCCATTCTACAGATGAGGAAACCAAGAATCAGAATTACACAGCCAGGACTGACTCCAGAGCCTGAGCCTTGATCAGTGGGATCCTCTGCGCCCCTCATGGGCAGAAGGAGAAACTGAAGCCCCAGACACTGCAGGCACTTTTCCTATCAGTCAGCAAATCAACCCAGGGTCAGAATTAGGACCCTCCTCTTTGCACTGCCCGCTCGGGAGACCCTTGCAAACACTGCCCTCCCGGGAGCCCATCTGGGCCCCCTTCTTCTCTCCCCTGAAGCTGGTGGGAGTTGGGGTAGGGGCTGCCCCCCATCTCTGTTCACAGCCGTCTCCCCTACAGAAATGTACCAGTTCAGCATTCAGGAGTCGGCCCCCATCGGCACGGCTGTGGGACGAGTGAGGGCTGAGGACTCAGACGTGGGCGAGAACACAGATATGACTTACCACCTCAAGGAGGAGAGCGGCAGCGGCGGCCATGTGTTCAAGGTCACCACGGACAGCGACACTCAGGAGGCCATCATTGTAGTGCAGAAGGTGCTGCTTGGGGGGGGGGGGCAGACCCAGGGTGGCGGGATGGGGGGCGGTGGCCTCAGAGCAGCCATGTGGCCCCCCCCACTCCACTCCAGGGATTGGGTCTCTCTGGGGACCCAGGACCCACCTGGGGGAAACAGCGGTGGTATCAGTCCCATTTTACAAAGGAGAAAATGAGGCACAAAGAAGATAAGCCGCACAGCTGGTTGTGAGAGCCCAGATTCAAACCAGATTTGGATCCATGCTCAGAATCACCGTGCTGTGCTCCTTTGAGTCCATGCCCTTCACGCTCATCGTTTCTTTTAGTCCTCATGCTTCCCTCTGAAGAGACATCCATTGTTAAGCCCATTTTTACAAGTGAGAAAACAGCGGCACAGAAAAAGAAAAGGGCTCGCCCAAGATCACACCTGTAAGGGGCAGAGTCAGGATTTGAACCCAGGTCTGGTGCCTCCAAGCTCTTTCCTTCCTGAGTCTAACAGCCCTCCTCCCCTACTGACTAGCCCAGGAACCAGAAGCTAAAAGAACAAATTCAGGGGTCCCTAGGAAGGGGATGGAGGTCAAATGAAAAGCACAAATCCATCTTCTAGAACTTGGTTGTGGGCTTGGCAACTCAGGGCTACTCAGGCCTTTGAGACCATCGCCCCAGCCCTGCTCTCCCTCCCACAAGAGGTTAATCCTCTGTGCTGGCCTGAGAATGATGGTAGGCCTTTGTACACCTCCAGGTTGGGAAGCTCACTCCCTGCCATTGTCCAGCTATTTCTCCTCCCATTCAGCCAGAATCTGTCTCCTAAATCTGCTCCCATCAGCCTGGGCCTTGCCTTCTGCCACCCACAGAAACATTTGCACTCTACAGCCCTTCATTCACTCAATAAGCACATAATGACTGGTCTCTACCTGGCCGGGAGGGTTTGAAAAGAGAGAAGACTCCCAGTTTTTTCAGCTACTCCCCAGAAGATTAAAATATAGTAGCTATTACTTATAATAAATGTATACTATGTGCCAGGCACCCTTCAACTGCTTTTCATGTATTAATCAATCCCTACGACAACCCTCTGAGGTACTATTATGGCCCATTTTATGGAAGAGAAACTGAGGCTGTGGCAATGCAACAATTCACATCCAAGATCATGCATCTTGCAGAGCAGACTAGGGCTATGAGCCCAGGCAGTCTGGCTCCAGAATCCACCCTTTTAAGCATTATATGGCTTTCAGTCTTCGGAGTTCCATTTATCCTCTGGAAGATGAGCCCACTTCACAGATGGGGTCCAGCATCACAGAGCAGCAGAGTGGCCCTAAGTGGCCCTAAGCCCAGCCTCTGCATTTGCTCTTACCCGCAGGCTGCCCCTAACCCCCTCCTCCGTCTCCGCGCCCCCCCCCCCCCACCTGCTCCAGCAGTGGCGCCTGAGGTGTCTCGGGGCACAGAGCCCACGCCTGATTGATGACCTGGCTCCAGAGCCCATCGCTCACTCATAGGCCCGGCTCCGGCCTGCCTCCCTGCATCCTGATTTCCCAGGCAACAGGACAGAGGAAGGAGGTGGCCGTGTTTACTGCTGGAGAAGGTGGGGGCAGGAGGTTCTGAAAGAAAAGGGGGGGTCTCTACGCACAGGGCAGGTCTCTAGGAAGGTCCCTTGCCACCCAAATAGCTCCCCCGACACGTCGGAGGCGCCCAAACCCCACCACTATTTCCCTTTGCTATAAGGCGTTGTCTTTAGAAGGCCAGAGCCAACACATGGCCATGGAGCTCATTCATCAGAAGGTCACCCATTAGCACTCCCTGATGAGAAGCAAGGCTCAGCACGGGTTTAGCCAGATTTCCAAGGAAAGCTGTAAGGCAGCCTGGCTTATAAGGCTCAACTCACATTAGTTGCTGCCGCCTAGGGACCTGGGAAATGTCTTAAGGAGACCCTCACAACTGAGGCTCAGAGAGGCTCAGAGAGGTTAAATAGATTGCCCACAGACACACAGCGAGTCAGCAGCAAATCCAGTGCGCTTTCCTGTCGTGGGGTTAAGGACCAGGACTTGGGAGCAGCACTGCCTGGGTCTGAATCCTGCCTCTGCCAGTGCCTAACTGCTAAGTGACCTTGGGCCTCGATTTCCTCTTGTGTAAAAGGAGATAATCACAGTACAGGCCTCTTAAGGATGTCGTAAAATTAGATGGGTAAGGCACTGGTACACAGTAAGTGCTCCGTGAATTACTAAATGAATGAAATCGGGCGCCTGGGTGGCTCAGGTGGTTAAGCTACTGCCTTGGGCTCAGGTCATGATCTGGAGTCCCGGGATCGAGTCCGGCTCCCTGCTCAGCGGGGAGTCTGCTTCTCCCTCTGACCCTCCCCCCTCACTCTTTCTCTCTTTTACTCATTCTCTCTCTCAAATAAATAAAATCTTTTTTAAGTAAGTAAATAAATAAATGCATGAAATGGCCCAACCTACTGTGCTGGGGGTGGGTGCGGGAAGTCAGATGTCAGCAGCCTTTAGCCCTGATGGGCTGTGTCCCTTGGCCAGACTGTCCCCCGCAGTCTCGCTTCGTCCACCTGCAACCGGGGAGGGTTGATCGGGGGTCTCCCAACGGCCAGTTCCCTGGTGCAGCCCACAACTCCCCACGCCCCTGCAGAGTCATCGGGACCCTGGGACCGCCCTGCCCTCTCTGGGCCCTCCTCCCCGACGTCCCCTTTCCGTGCCCACTCACCTGCCCTCTGCTCCCTCTCCGCAGCGCCTGGACTTCGAGTCCCAGCCCGTGCACACTGTGGTCCTGGAGGCCCTCAACAAGTTCGTGGACCCCCGCTTCGCTGACCTGGGCACATTCCGCGACCAGGCGATCGTGCGCGTGGCCGTGACCGACGTGGACGAGCCCCCAGAGTTCCGGCCGCCCTCCGGCCTCCTGGAGGTGCAGGAGGACGCGCAGGTGGGCTCCCTGGTCGGCGTGGTGACGGCGCGGGACCCCGACGCCGCCAACCGGCCCGTCCGGTGAGACCCCCGCCCGGGGCCACGCCTGCTGCCTGCTCTCCCGCCACGGCCCCGCGGACAGACCTCGGGCAGAGGGGGAGGGGCGGGGGGCGGAGAAGGGGGGTATGGACACAGAGATGCAGCTCAGAGACAAGGGAGACAGATGTGAGAGTGGTCACAGGGAGTCAGGGGACTCAGGACAAGGAGGGAGACCCAGGTTTGACAGACACGGCAGAGTGAACAGGGCTCGGCCCCGGTCCTCTCTGTCCGCGGGGGCTCCCTCGGTGTCCTCGGTCTGTCCATCCACATGCCTATGACCCCCGAGTCCACTCTCTTGCCTACCCTGCCGTCTCAGCAGCTCCCCTTGGCTCCCCTAGGCACCCAGAACTCACCACGTTCGGAACTGAGCTCCAGGTCCCTCCACCAAAAACAAGGACCCCAACCTTCCAGTTGTTGAGATCAAAAATGTTGGAGACACCCTGCCTCCTGTCTCTGTCTCGCACCTCCCTCCAGTCCCTCAGCAAATCCGGAATCCCACCACCTTCTCCACCTGTGCTGCTACCCACCTGCTACCCCCTGGTCCGGGCCACCATTTTCTCTTACCCGGACCTGGATCCGGATTCCGGCACTCCCCCCTCCCCCCAACTGGTCTCCCTGCTTCTGCCCTGCCCCTCTTTAATCTAGAACTGGCCTGGGGCCAGACTGATCCTGTCCAAAGGGAAATCAGAACTTGGCCCTCCTCTGCTCAGAGCCCCCGAAAGGCACCCATCTGGCTCAGAACAAAAGACCAAGCTCTCACAATGCCCCCCAGACCCATGAGATCTGGCCTCACTGTAGCCTCTCAGACCATTCCTCCCGAGGTCCTCCTTCCTAGTTCAGGGGGCTCAGCCACACTGGCCTCCTCACTGCTCCACGGATACACCAAGCTCACTCCACCTCAGGGCCCTTGCAACTGCTGATCCCTCTGCCTAGAATGTTACCCGCTTAATATCCCCACGATTGGTCCGCTGGCTTCCTCCAGGTCTTTGCTCAAGAGTCACCTTCTCAGTGAGGCCTTCCCTGACCACTCTTTCTAAAATTTCATCCCCACCCCAACCCCCAGCCCCAACACTTCACATCCCCTCTCCTCGTGTTACTCTGTCCTCAGTAGCCTTCACCATCTAACACGTCACCTAGTTTTCTGACTCCATCGTCTGTCTCTCCCGCTACCAGATAAGCCCCGTGAGAGCAGGGAGTTCTGTGTGTTCACCACTTTACCTGATGCCCTGCACTCGGTGGACACTCGCTGACTGCCCTGATGAGTGAATGAAACATAAAAGAGAAAAACTGAGAAGAGAGAGAGGCTCAGGGGCCTGGGGAGAGCCTCACAGTGAGAGGAGGAGGTCGGAGAGAGGGGGAGCCAGTGGGAGGACCACGGGAGGAACTAAAAGAGGCAGAGGACCTACCTGACCATGTAGAAACAGAGGAGATCTGCTGAGAAAGCCAGAAAGGGAAAGAAAGGGAAATAGACACAGGGAGAGAGAGGGGTGAGTGGGGGCGGGGGGAGGCAGGTGGGTGGAGGGGAGGGGATGCTGCAGCTCTGTTGATGTTTCTGGAAGGGTTTGCGAAGTCCCTGACTGTGGCCCAAATTGGAAGAAGGTCAGGCAGAAGAGACGGGAAGAAAGGTTGTAGCAGAAATGATCCAGAGGAGGTCAGGGCTGGGGGGAAGGGCCATTGTTGGACAGAAGGGAAGGAGATTCCTGAGCTCCCTGCTTCCTCCCTGAAACCCCTGGACATAATCAGTAAGTAATCCCAGAACCAACTATGTGCCAGGATCTGTGCTGAGCATTGAAGAGAGGGAGAAGGGAAGTTAATTTGAGGACCTATGCATTACATTGTTCCAGATGGGTAACGTTTCCTTCATCATCTATGTGAATGGTTCTCTGAGTTGTACAGTGCACAGCATGTGCAATCTTACATGGCAGCCCTGGGTGACGACAGAGAGATGCCTCCCTGCCTAACTGCCTAAAGGCTCTCAGACTGGGAAATACCCTCAGGGGTCTTAAAAGACTTCCTGGAGGAGGCAGGAAATGAGCTGAGCTGGTACCTGGGTATGGTCAGGTGTACATACGAGGTGAAGGGCATTCCAGGCAGAGGAACAGCCTGTGCAGGCATATGGAGGCCGAGGTAGCTGTGCCTGGAGAAGAACAGACCATGATGGCTACAGTGGACTGAGGGAGATGAGGCAGCAAAAGTGAAGTCTGGCAGGCCTCAGGGCAAGCTGAGGAGCTCAGACTCAGGCCAGAGGGCCAGAGGACCCGGGGTTGCCTCTGCCCTCCTCACTGCCCAAAGCATCCTGCTGCCTCTGAGCTCCTCTGCCGCCCTTCCACTCAGGCTGTCGGGACAGCCTGTCAGCAGCCCCCTTAGCCTCTGGCTGGGCCACAGAGCTCTCTCTCTCCAGGAAGGGATTATCACCCATGTGTGTGAGGAAACCAAGGCCCAGGGAGGGAAGGAGGCGTTCCTGGGCTCCCCCGGGTAGTTGAGAGCCAAGAGTAGGAGCTGAGTCCTCACCTCCCAGGTTAGTGCTCCTGCCTGCCTGCTCCCCTCCCCTGCACTGTCACGCTCACACCCGCTCTCAGCCTTCTCCCTGCTCCCCCTGTTGGCTTCCCTTCCCTCCAGCTTTTATCTGCACTGAAAGGGCCAACTTTGAAACCAGCTTCTCACCTTCTTTCATCTCTCTTTGCTGGCCCCTTCCCTGGGGCTCCTCAGATGTGGAGGCAGTGAGGAGCTTGCGACAGGTCCAATTTAACACCACAAACATTTACCCAACTCCTCCTCCTCGTCCGTCCTCTGGGAGCCAGGCCCGGGGACAGGCAGATGACTCAGCCAAGGGCAGAGCTGGGGATGAGCACCCTCTCTGCAGGGGACAGACGCGGAAATAGGAGGCCAGTGAGGGGCCACTGAGAGACAGAAGGGCTCCTCATGGGGCACATGTGCTGCCCAGAGCCCAGCTTGCATCCTCAGCTCCTGGGTTTGCAGGGTCATGGGCTCAGTCAGCGCCTACACATTGAGTCAAGGGGGAAACAGTGGTAATAAGACCTCATCCCTGCCCACAGAGAGTTTGCCTTCACCTGGGGAGAGACAGTCATCGAGTCGTAAAACATTTGTTGACACAAGTTGTGAAATAATTGCTGATAAGAGCTACGAAGGAGTTAAACAGGGTAATAAGATAGGGCAACAGGGGCTACTATGGATTGAGTAGTCCAGGAGTTGACAGATGAGCTGAGATCAGAATGATAAAGTGAGAGCCAACGTGCAAAGATGTGAGGAAGAGCATTCCAGGTAGTGGGAACAGCAACTGCAAAGGTCCTGGGGCAGAGGAGCTTGGTGTGTTCCTGGAGTTGAAGATATTAAGTGGTATCCTGGGAGATTTTATCGGTAAAATCTAGGCACACTAGGCACCTGGGAAATACAGCGGTGCAGATATGCAGGGTGGTTTTCTGAGTTCCTACACTGGGGAGTTGTTGCATTTTCCCCTCAGGAGGTATCATAGCAGTTTACAGATGAAGGAACTGAAGGTCAGAAAGGAGAAGTGACTCTCCCAGTGTCATTCAGCTTGAAGGGGAGAGGAATGATTTAACCCATGATTGTCTGCTTCCTGAATTCAGCCTCCTGTTATTTTACCCCAGCTTCTTACTCTCCCTGTGGTTAGGTGTCCTCCCCTGTGCATAAGGCACAGAGATGAATCAGACATAGGCTGACAGGAAGGCTAGGCCCCCATGTGAAGGCATCTAGTGACAGATCTAAGTCGAGTGGTCTTGGGCTGAGACCGGGGCTTGAGGACTACAGAACTCCATGGAGGGGTGAGTACTCGATGCACCACCAAGGGGAATGAGCACAGACTTCCGCATATGGCCCCCAAGCGAGGCTGAAGAGGTGAGGTTGGAACAGGGAGAGGATGCTCCAGGTTGGAGTGATGGTAAGGGCCGGGAAGCAGGAACATAGCCGTGGATTCAGCAGGTTAAGTTCAACAGCAGGGTGATCAGCTGGATGAGCTCATGTCAAGGTGGGCAGAGAGGAGTACAGAGGGGCACTTGGGCCAGGCTGGGAAGGACCTTGAATGTCAGGTGGAGAAGCAGGACTCCATGCTTAGGCGATGGGGAGCCTTGGAAGCTTTGGAGGGAGAGAAAAGAGTGCTCAGAGGGGCCCATCTCTGGGTTAGGCAGCCTTGCAGATAGTCAGGCTCTTGATCAGCCCAGCATAGCCCTACACCCTGGTGAGTCTTCTTCGAACATCAAAACCAGCAAAGCCCACACTGGACCAGTGGGAGCAAACACCTCATTTCCTCCCAGCACTCCACAGTGGGGTGCAGCAGAAAGTACATGGGCTCTGGAATCAAAGAAGACTTGGGTCGGAATCTCAGCTCAGTTGTAGACGATCATGGGACGATCACTGGACCTACTGCAAGCCTCAGTTTTCCCATCTCTATAATGGGCATCATGATAGTACCTGCCTCATTCATTTATTCAAAAATTAGGTATTAAATGTCTACTGTGTTCACTAGGTTCTGTGCTCGGTGCTCCCAGGGTTGGAGGGAGGCTTGTTTGGCACCTAGTAGGCCCTCAGGAAATGAACATTAAACATTTTCCTTTGTGGCCTGGACACCCATTTCTACCCTTTAATCTGCAACCTGTATTAATCACATACAAATTCCCAGGCATCATGTTTGGGCTTTGAGTGTGTGTCTTAAGCTGGGGTGGGGGGCAGGTATGTAGAAAGAATCGGAGATGGGGTGGAGTGAGCAGAGAGGAATCCCTGGTGGGGGGAAGGGGAGCCCCTTCTGCATCTGAAGAGACTCTACCTCTAGTCGCTCGGGTGGGGGCTGCCTCATTCAGCCTGCTGCGCACATGTGTACATGAGCCCCCACAAGGGAGGCCTGGGAAGGCTGCACACACAGGAACCTGTTGCCTTCCATATCTCTCATGCCTGTGCGTGCACTGTATGCACATATTTATGCGGACAAAACCCACATAGTGCACGCCCAGGCCAAGAAGCAGGACCCTCCCCACATCCCCCATCCTAACCTTGACAACGGCAGCCCTTTGTGCCATTGGAGTGTGTGCAAGTGTCTGCAGGTGTGCCTGGCCGGCCCTCAGGAGGGTGCCCTATGGATTGAGACAAGGCCTTAGACAAGGCCCTGCACAGACCTGGGTGTCCACTAACCAGCCCTTTTGACCCAGGGCAAGGCACTTGGCTTCTCTTAGCCCAGTCTCCTCATCTGTGAAATGGGGGGTGATAACAGTGCCTGGGAAGATGGGAGGAGCTCATGCACGTAAAGGCCTTCTGCAGGCCTGGCACGAAGTCTTGCTGGCAAAAAACGTCAGAGCAAATCCACAGGTCATGTGGCAGGCGCCCAGCACTGCTAGAAGTGTTCCATGGGTAGCTACTTGTCCAACCCTCGGAGCTGCTCAGTAAGGTAGGCATTGTTATTATCTCCATTTTCAAGAGGAGGAAACTGAAGAACAGAGAGATCAAGTGATTTACCCAAGGCCACACAGCTAGGTTTCAAACAGGCAGATGGGCACCAGATCCACGCTCCTGACCATCATTCTGGGTCCTCCCTTGCACGCATGCACAGACATGCACACACAAGTACCACACACTACCCGACACCTACCCACACTCTCTGTCTGCACTCCTCCACCCGCACATGCTCCGGTTCCCCTCCCTGCCGTCCAGGTCCTGGCTGACTGAATGAGGAGCCGGACCTTCTAGATCCACGGCTGCCTCCCACCCTTCTCAGCCTGCTGGAGATATTCCAACGGTCCGCTGTCAGCACATGGGGCCTCCCACTCCCGGGGCACACAGGCCACACACCGGTTGGAGGGGACTCGCCTGTCCCCCTTACTAGATGTTTCTGAATAATAATTAGAATAACAATCATCCTCTCTCACGGAGTAATTTTCCTGGAGCTCAGCTAGGCACCTTATCCCCCCAGCTAGGCATTTAATCCTCCCAGCAACTTGCAAGGTAGGATTATCATCTCCATTTTGCTCAAAATTAAAGTTCAAAGATTGAAGTGACTCATCAGGGGCATCGCGGACTTGGATCCACACCCAGGGCTAAGCAGCTGCCTCTTGAGCTTTAGGGTTTCCAACAGCAAAGCAGTATCACACACACACAGACACACATGCACACCACTCACATATTCAGGTCACACACACACACACACACACACACACACACACACACACACACACACACACACAC